TAACCAATATTATTTTTCCTGACGTCTTTCTGTAGTATTTAAAAAAAAAAATTTAACAAAATGAGCAAAAAACTGTAGGGGCTTGGATGTATGCTTTAAAATCAAGGGTCGACTTGTTTCCTCCATACTTTACAAAACAAAAAGCCTTTGTTTTGCAGCCTGGGCACTGGACTTACATGCTGAACAATACCCACCATTCTCTGCAAGCCCTGAAAGTGACAGTGACTTCTCGTGCCTCCAGCTCAGCTGTGTCCCCAGCCACTGTGGAGGCCTTTGTGGAAAGAGACAGCACCCATTTTCCTAATCCCGTAATGATTTATGCAAATGTGAGAAAGGGGTTTTATCCCATTCTTAATGCCACTGTGACTGCTACAATTGAGCCAGAGACTGGAGATCCTGTTAAGCTGAAACTTTTTGATGATGGAGCAGGTAACAAGGAATGTCATGTGTTTTTTTCATCTTCTCAAGAGCTTTCATGTTATGATAAGGTAGTATCGATATTAAGCTTATCTGTAAAATTCTTCCAATTCAATTATTTTTCATATTCAGTCTTATGAGATTCTCAAATTTCATGGAATTACGAACACACTGAATAGCTACAAGTTGACTTAGGAAATGAGAGTATGGTTTGGCTCCTCAGAGTGGCTGTACATCGCCAAAAAGATGGGGGAAAGCCACTTGACACCTTGGTCTTGCTAGTTGGCCAGTGACACTGGCCTCTTTTACTTAGTGAGGTCACACAGGAACAAGCTTATGTATATGTCCTTATGACATGATCATATTCCTCAAAGATTCACCAGCTTTACTATTCACTTAAATAATCAAACTGGACGGTTAAAACAGCAAATGAAAACTCAAGAAAGGAAATGCAGTGACAGTTAACCCGTTTTTTCCCTTTGGACCCTGTTTTGAAGAAAAAATTGGAGATTGAACTTGTGATCCATGAGCTGACCCTAGACTATTCTTCGGCTAAGTAGCTGGGTAATGGGAGGGCACGGCCCATCTCTGGTACAGCCAGTGCCATTTACATTTGTGAATTGGTCCCAAGAAGACCAAGCCAGCAAGCCTAGTGGAATCAGGATAGAGATTCCCCACCCCTGGGAAAATTAAGTAAAACAAAACAAACCCTACTTCAAAGCTCTCACATTCTGCACACAGGGTTCCAACCCTCATCATTACGCATTACAGACTGCACAGCATCAGGCCAGGCAAACAGCAGCACTTGGACTCTTTCTATTTTTGACTCTTTAAAACAGACTCCTTTGCTCTTTCATCTTTTTTTATTTTTTATTTTTTATTTTTTTTAAAGATGACCGGTAAGGGGATCTCAACCCTTGGCT